AGAATGTTCCTTCAAGATTTCCTCAAAATGCTCATACCTGCCTTATATATTCTATAGCAGGGGTCTTCAAACCTGGCCCTTTTTTTACTTGTGGACTTCAACTCCCAGAATTCCTCAGCCAGCATGGGGAAACTATGGCCCCTTCATGAGTTGTGGACTTCAACTCCCAGAATTCCTCAGCCAGCGTGCCTGGCTGAGGGATTCTGGGAGTTGAAGTCCACCAGTCATGAAAGGGCCACGTCTGAAGCCCCCCTGCTATAGCATATATAAGGCAGGTATGAGTATTTTGAGGAAATCTTGAAGGAACATTCTGGGAAAAAAGAGTGGATAGAGGCCTAGTTCAGATTTTTGTTGGCTGCTTTGTGGCTCCACGGCTGGAAGAGAGGTAATTATCACTAAATGTAGAACAAGGGTAAGATTTCTGCTTTTTTCCCCCTCATAAAGAATGTAATACAGGTATGTAGTCCTAAACCAGGGGTCTTCAAACCTGGCCCTTTTACGACTTGTGGACTTCAATTCCCAGAATTCCTCAGCCAGCGTGCCTAACTGAGGAATTCTGGGAGTTGAAGTCCACAAGTCATAAAAGGGTCATAGTTCCCTCACGCTGGCTGAGGAATTCTGGGAGTTGAAGTCCACAAGTCATAAAAGGGCCAAGTTTGAAGACCCTTGTTTTACAGAGTCGTTGAGGCCACCTGGAGGTTTACCTGTATCCTCAGGGTCACCTGAGTGGTGCAAATGGGTGTGGAGCCTTCTTGGAACTGCGGAAAGGACTGGAAATTAAGCTCCTTGACTAAGTGTAGAATCAAAGAATCGTGATGTGTGAATTGGAAGGAACTTCTGAGATCATCTAGTCCAGCCCCTCGTTCTTTGCAGAAATCCAGATTAGATTATTCCTGACAGGTAGCCAGATAGCCAGGCAAAGCTTCAGTGGGAGGGTGGGCCTCTCTCCCTCTTCCAGGGAGCTCGTAGTTCCATCCTGAGTGCCTTTCAGTTTACCCATGCAATTCTTAGGGACTAGGAAGTTTGTGTTTGAGAAAGAGAGGCAGAGTCCAGGTGATTATAAGGCCAAAGTAAAGGAATGGTTCCTTTGTTGGCTGTTCCATTATCCTTGTTTATTCTATTCACTTTACTTGACCTTTAATTATTGGGGTCAAAGTAGAACACTCTGATCTTTCCTGCAGTGTTAGCAAGCAAGGTTTGCCGATTCAAAAAGAAACAGGAAATGATGGAATGTTAAGTGGAAAGGGAGGCTTATGTTGCAGTGAGGGAAGGAAGGAGGGAGGGAGGGAGAAAGGGAATGGGAAGGAAGGAAGGAAGGAAGGGAGAAAGGGAATGAAAGGAAGGAGGGAGGGAGGGAGGGAGAAAGGGAATGGAAAGGAAGGAAGGAAGGGA